TTCTGTTCGATGGACTTTGCCATCACTGAGTGAATGTGTGTGAATGTGTGTGAAAGGGTGAATGTGGCTATACAAGTACAGGTCCATTTACCATTTACCAAATGAAATTTCATTTGTTGGACTTCACAAATTAACAATTAAACAAACAATTAAATTAAATTTTAATTTAAAATTGAATATGTACATTTCAGCACTTGTTGACTTTTAGAAACACTATGCAGTTGTAATACTTTGTGTAAAACTCTGTGTAAAAATTCAGCCATGACTTCAAATTCAGGTGTGTGTTTTTCAGAATAGCTTTCTAATAGCTGGAAATTTCTAAAAACACTTTTTAAATGGAAAAACCTGGACCCAAAACAATCTGCATAGCTAGATACCAACATGAATACGGGACATGTGCTCCAAATCCAGAAATACTAAACACTGTGACGGTACTGTCACTGACTGCAGGCAGAGCGCATACAGACATACCCACCCACCCACACACACACACACACACACATATGCCATTCATTTCCCTCAACTCCTTTTTGCTCTCATTTAGTTGTTAATAAACCTTGCCATTTTCTCACCGTTTTAGTAGCACGACCAAGGGTGCACACTTGGGAGTTCTACGTTTATTTATCCATACATTAATATGTAACTTACCATTAGCGAGAGCGCTGCAGAGTTGTGCTGCTGTTTCAGGAGTTTGGTTGGCCAAACAGGGGCGTAACACAGCGGGCGGTTATATGCGTTAATCTCGCAGGGTTTTCGTTTTTTACGTTTTGTTTGTAATATTAATTCTTGCCATAAATACTTGTTTGGGTTAAAGAGGAATAGGGGAGAAATTTTAAATACATTGTGTTTAAACTATATCTTGTGTTTAGACGCTGGAAACAGTTAATAATACTGATAATAAGAAAAAGGTATTAATTGTTGTTAATGGATGGAAATATTGAGCCCAGTGGGAGAGGCTACGGATTTAAAAGGGCTGCCTTTGCCCTAGTGAAGTAATACAAAGGTGAAAAGCACTAACATTAAGAGGAATGTAATGAAGTACCAGGAACATTTGTCTACAAAGTACATTAATTTTAATATTGCTGACCTTCCAAGGAGAGATATTTCACCATGTAGCAGTTACTAATGTAGTTTGTTGATTTTAGGCATGTACTAATCGTAAATTGATAGTTTGTTGCAATATTTGTCTGAAATTCATGAATCCATTCATCAGTATGGCTGCCACTAAGAGCAGCAGCTCATAAGCAGAAAAAAGTTTTTTTGTAAAAAGACAACATAACAGCCTGTTTGCATGTGGGTAGAAAAAAAGCACTTGGGTGTGAATCACCAAAACAATGGCTAATGGGCTTCTCTCGAACAATTTATAAATAAATGTGTCATGTTAATGTCATGGACACCAGATAATTATTCAGAATTGCAGGACAAGCGAAAGTTACTCGTCCTATAAAGAGAGCTAAAGAAAGGCCATTTAAAAGAGAAAACATGTTATTATGTAAATATTGGTAGTTCAAATATTGTAATATCCTATTGTGCATTTTTTTTAAAAAGATTTCTGGATTATAGCTAACATTTTGTCACGATATTCAATGTAATTTCAATAACAAAACAAAGACAAATATTGACACTTTTACTTACTAGAGTAACGTCAGTCAAAATGGGATTAGAGACTTACAGACCAAATATAATGCGCTTGGTATGAAATTAACTCCAATTGGCAACTGGCAGACTGTGATCCCCAAATATGTTGAAAAGTCTCTGAACAGCATTTAGACACTAAAGATGATAATGATTTTTTTTTTTACCCACCACCACCCCCCCATTGGAGGACACTTTTTCTTTTTCTTTTTTTCTTCT